GTCGTCGTCGTCGTCGTCGTCGGCGTCGGCATCGGCGTTGTCGGCGTCGTCGTCATCGTCGTCGTCGTCAGCGGCGGTGGCGGCGGCGTCGGCGTCGTCGTCGTCGTCGGCGCCGTCGTCGGCGTCGTCGGCGTCGTCGGCGTTGTTGTCCTCCTCGTCGTCGTCGTCGTCGTCGTCGTCGTCGTCGTCGTCGCCGTCGTCGGCGGCGGTGGCGGCGGCGGCGGCAGCGGCGTGGGCGTCGGCGGCGGCGTCGGCGGCGGCGGCGGCGGCGTCGTCGTCGTCGTCGTCGTCGTCGTCGTCGTCGTCGTCGTGGTCGTCGGCGTCGTCGTTGTCGTCGGCGTTGTCGTCGTCGTCGTCGCCGTCGCCGTCGGCGTTGTCCCAGTCACGCGCCTGGACCCATGTTGGCTCGTTCGCTCGCCCCTGGGTGGCTCGAGGGGCGGCACAGGCCCGCTCCGCTTGGTACGTCTTGCTGGGCGAGGCCGCCGCCGCCTCTCTGGCTGCTTTCTTGGGGCTCGCGGTGTTCTTGTCTCGTACAGAACCACGAGCACAAATTAGGGGCCGTCGTGGAGCGAGCGAGCGAGCTCCCCCTTCATTCGATTAACCCCAGAAGAAGGTGAGCCAGTCGGGGTCGTTTCAGAGGTCGCGGGCAGAGGCCCTCTTTCGTTGCAGTCCGCAGCAGCCCTTCTCCCTGCTTCCTCGTCCCGCCTCCTCCTCGTCCTTTCCCCTGGTCCCAGGCGCTGTGCATGCTGAGCAACGTGGCCTTCCAGGTCTCCCCGCTGCCGCAGGTCAGGAAGTTCACGAAGGAGCAGGACGGGCCGCGCGGGCAGAGCCGACGCATTCGGAGCGATGATGATGATGTTGATGATGATGACGATGATGGTGGTGGCGGTGATGGTGGTTGGTGATGGCGCTGATGATGGTGGTGATGATGATGCTGACAATGATGATGATGCTGATGATGATGATGCTGATGATGATGATGCTGATGGAGATGGTGATGATGGTGATGATGCTATTGATGGTGCTGATGATGATGCTGATGATGATGATGATGCTGCTGATGATACAGATGACAAGGTTGCTGCTGGTGGTGGTGATGATGACGATGATGGTGGTGGTGCTGCTGCTGATGTTTATGATAATGATGATGACGATGCTGATTATGTTTCTTGATGATGATGATGATGATGATGATGATGATGATGATGATGATGATGATGATGACGATGCGGCTGATTCTTATAATGATGATGACGAAGACGATGATGTGAACATTGTGGTTACGATCGTAGAAGGAAGTGATCTGCAGCTCTCCCGGACTGAGCCCGCCCCGCGCTGTGCGCCTGGCGCGCCCGTATTTGGTGCGTGGGGGGCCCACGGCCAGGGCGCGGGCGGTTCACGAGCCTGCCTCTGGATTCGAGGCCTACTCAAGCCTTTTTTCCAGCGGCGAGGTTGCGCGACAGGGGCGGCGAAGGACCCGGAGCGGGCCCCCTGGGTCGTCATCCCGGACAGCACCCAACGCGGGCCGCCCAGGGGGGCGGCAGGTGCCGAACCTGTGGTTCGAGCCGTTCCTGCCGCTGGCAGCCACTGCTGCACAATCCAAGCCGCCCCAAGTTCGAGCGAGGACCTCGTCGGGATGCGCAGAGGAGGCGCGGTCGCGTGGCAGGCGATCGTCGCCCGAGTCGGATGCGGCAGGTATACTAGCGGGCGGGATCGCCTGCGTCGGTCCCTGTACTTGAAAGTAGTCGACAGTTTCCTCGACGAACATCGGGACTTCACATACACCGTCAAGGTTTTCCAAGGTCTGCGAGTTGGCCTTGGCACAGTGACGATGCTACCATCAGGTGCGTTGCAGCAGACGGGGGACGCCTTGCTGCGCTCGTCTCGTGGCTGCTCAAGCTGCCGATTGCCAGGGCCCGAGCCGCCGGCGCTGCGCAGCGCGGTGCGAGGCCCGCGTCGTCGGCGCCACGTTCGTGAAGCTCGATGGCCCCGTCGGCGTCGACGCCCTGGCCGAAGCCGACCTCCGTGACCTCGAGCTGGAGGAGCTCATCGTAGTGCCCGCCGTCTGCCCCCCTCTCGACGCTGGCCCGCTCGCCTCCGTAGACAATGTTTCGGTGGCGCTGCGGTCGGCCCTTGGTGAGGACATGCAAGCAGACGTGTCCTGCATGAAGGTCTCGCCCGCGTTCCTGGCGAGACTCACCGAGAGTTGCGCGGAGGACGAGGTGGTCGAGTTCTTCGACTCAGCTGGCGGCTCTGCTCAGCCGGACCGGCTCGAGCTGGCCGATCTCGCCCCGCAGCCCGACGATTGGAACAGCGGGGTCCTGCTCCGACCCGTCGTTCCCCGCCCCCGCCCCCGGGCCCGGGGCGCCTCGACTTCCAGCTCTCCGTCGATGGGCAGATCGATGGGGACAGGTACCCCGCCGCCGACGAGCACGATGGCGAGGGCATGGGCGACGACGAGGTCGACGCAGCCCGTAAGGCTGCCGCGCAGGAGTGGGCAGATCGGCCGCGCGGCGCCCGCGCGACGGGCAGCCCAGGCACGGAGGGACAAGGGCTCCTGGCAGGTCTTGGGGCCCCATGGTCACGCCCGCCAGGCGACCCCTCTCCAGCGGGCGACGCTGCCGCGGGCCGCGCCCGCAGGAAGGCCGGCGCCCGCCGCCCCTCCCGCTGCAGGTGGGAGCGTGGGGCGCGCGGCGAGGCAGCGGCCTGCGGCGAGCGGCGCCAAGAGGGCCGCGACCCGTCGGCGCGTGAACGGTTCGCGCGACGATCTGCAGATTGCCTTCGGGAGCTTCGAGCACGAGCTGCTAGAAGCCGGCGGCGGCCAACTGAGGGGCTTCTCGAGCCGAGTCGAGCATGTCGAGAAGAGAAGTATGGAGGCCAGTGGCTTCGCTGCTGCGCCCCCCCCATCCCGGGCCGCTCCGGGGATGCCCCTCTAGGCGGGGCCCCGCGCGACCGCGCTGGCGCCTGCCCCCTTTGTCCCGATCGGATCTCCCTCCCAGAGCTCGCCCGCGGCGCCGTCCCAGACAGCGGCTCCGCTTCGGGGGGCGCGGCCTGGCCTGGCGCCCCCCCGCCCCGAGCGGCAGAGGAGGCCCGCGCGACGGCCCGGGGGCTGCTCCAGCGGGCCGACGGGCCCCCTCCGCGCGAGCAGGGCAGCCGCGCGGCAGGGCCATCGGGCGCGAACCGCAGGGGCGGTCTGCCCGCGTCGACGCCGCGGCCTTCGCCGAGTTCGGCTGCGACGCCGCTGGCGCGCCGTGGGGCATGGCGCTCTATGGCAGGCAGAGGGTCAGATTCGGGCACCTCGAGGACCACGGGCGCTTTTGGGAGTTGCTTGCATCCTTCCACGCGCTGCGCAGGTCGCAGCAGCGCGACCTCCTCGGCGCCGTGGTCGGCCATTTTCTGATGTTCGCGCAGCACTGCTCTTGGAGGCTTGCCCGGCTGATCACGGGGCCCCTGGGCCCTCGGCCCAGAGCGGGTCAGGCGGTCGCGCGCCCTGCGGAGTTTGCAGCCTCGGTCGCTTGCCTGCGAGACAGGGGCAGTCGAGGGCGCCCTCGAGAGAGGGGGTGGGGGAGCCGCCGATGATCGCGCCAGCAGGGGCCACCTCGGCGAGAAGTCGACGAAGTAGACCGACGAGAAGGGGCGGGGCGGTGGCGGGGGAGGCGAGTGAGCGCCCCCAGATGGGTCCGACAGCATATAGAATCACCGAGGGAGGCCAGCTCCAAAGTCGGGTCTGCGTCGCCACTACGTGCGACTCCGACTTCGCAGGCCGCCTTCGATTCGGTGATCTGCGATCTTTTTGCATCTGGCCTGCCGGCCTCGTTCTGCGCCTTCCTCGAAGCGGGGGTCGGGTCTCCACGTGCGCCCCGACGGGGCATCGTGCCCCCTGGCGATGGCAAGAGTTGTTCATGCCCTGCGGGCTCCCCCACGAGTGGCGAGAGAGTGGGGCTGCTACGCGGTCGCCGCAGAGACGCGCGCGGTGGCTTCGGGAGAGACGTTGGCGGTGCTGGGCCAACGTGTCCGTCGCTTATCTCTCTTGGTTCTCGCTTGGGCCCTCCGTGGGCGGGTCGGCGGCGTCCTGCCTCGCCGCGCCCTTGACCGAGAGACAGTGGCAGCTGGTGCGCCAGCTTGATGGCAAGTATCCATAGTTGTTGCCGCGTCAAGGAGTCAATGCCTCTTCTGACTAGTGGCGTTTGTGGCATTCATCGGGCCATGCCAGGGTTCCTGGGCGGTTCGTGCTTGGGAGGCAGTGCGCATTCTGCGGGGCCTCTTACCTTCGCTGCAGACAACCTCAGCATCCCGTCCAGCGGCGCGGCGGTCTTTCTCCAGGAGCCGGGCGGGCCGCCTGAGCGCGGCTTCATCTTCCGCGCGATGCGCGTCTTTGAGTTCGAGCCAAGTCGCCTTCCCAGTCAGCTGCCTCCCAAGCGCGCGTGCGTGGACCCGGGCCGCGGTGGCAGCGCGTGTTTGGGGTGCTCGGCTCTTGCAGCTCGCGCGCCCGGAGAGCCTTCGACAGCGCGCGGGCGCCCCTGTCCGCGGCGGGCTCTTCGGCGCGGAGAAGAAGGGCGATGGCGGGCTGAGGGTCATCGTTGACAGGCGTCGCCGCTATGCATCGGAGAAGCCTTTGGGAGGTCCTCCGTGAGTGTGCCTTGGCCGCGGAGCTCCCCGGCAGTCGGCGCGCCTGCCTCGAGCGTCTCGCCGCGTTGTTCCATGCCTCGCCGCATGCCCCGAAGGGCGGGTGCTCGTCGATCTCCGCGGGCGATGCCGAGGATTTCTTCTACTTCCTGCAGTGGCCGGACGCCGGGGTTCAGGAGGCCACCCTTGGCTTTGACGTCAGGGCCAGCGAGCTCCTGGAGCAGGGGTTCTCCTGCGAGGTGGACAACCTCCGCGGGCGCGGTCGTGACTGGACCGCGGCGGGACTGGCGGCCGACGGCGTCGAAGGCGGCCCAGATCTTGCATCGGCGTTGCCTGCGATCCTCAGGGCGTCTCCGCGACGGGGGGTTTGCTCGGCTGCGGTCGGCCCCCCCCCCCCCCCCCCCCTCGGACCTAGTTGTGGGGGGCGTCTGCTCGGGCGACCGCGCGGTCGATGGCCTCTGTCCTGGCGCCTCGGGCCCGATGCGACGGGCAGCTCCTCTGCGGGCCCGGCGCGGGCGCCGGGCGTGCGATCGCGCGGGCATCGAGAGGGAGGAGGAGAAGGCAACCCTGGACCGGCCCAACGGGGTCGTCCGGGGGGGGATCTCCACAGCGTGACTCGATGTAGGCGGGGGGGAGGTGAAAGTCAAGCACCTCGGAGCGATCGCCGCGTGCGTCGTCCTCGTCGGGGCCGCGTCGGTCGCTCTCGTGAGGAGGCTGGCCAGATGCTGGGTTCGCCATCTGATGTTTCGCTGGGCCGCTATGTTTCTCGTGGACAGGCTCTACGCGTGGTTTCGCGCGCCCTGCGCGGACCCCGCGGCGTGGCGCCGTCTGCGGAATGCAGTGGTGGACGAGCTGATGGGGCTTGATCCCAGAGTTCAGGAGCTCGCTCGACTCCGCGGTGGCGGAGCAGGTCTTCGCCTCGGGCGCCGCCCTTGTCGTCGGCGGAGTCGCGTCGGCCCCGCTCGACGTGGAGGAGGCGGTCTGGCTTTGGGCGCGAACTCCTCGACGGACGGACAGGCGTTGTGAGGCCCGGAACTTCTGGGCCCCTAGATACCGTTGAGCCTCTCGAGGTCCTGGGGGGCGGGGCCCCGGTTGACTCCCTGCTCCACTCCTGGATAGGGCCCGCGCCGTTAATTATCCGCTCTGCTGTGCTGCAGGTCCTCGGGGAGACGACGAATTAATGCGCTGGGGGCCGTTGCATTCAGATCGCTTGTCAAGCGCGCGTCAAGGGCCCAATCGTGCATGGTTAGCTTTTCCAGTTCTGATGGGCTCACAGGTTGCGGCGTTGCCGCCTGAGGGCGATCGTCCAGCGGGGTCCTTCGCAGGATCCTCGTCGTGACTCTCTCGCTTTTGCTGTGCGCTGGGTGTTCCCTGCCTGTCTTTCGGGCGCAGAGTGCCCGCGTTCCAGCTGATGGCCGCGGTGCCGATGCGCGCGGGGCCGGGCCGCGCCCTCCCGAGGTGGTGGAATCGATTGCCGCCGTCGAGAAGCTCCGGAACTGGGCCGTGGGCGCGCGCCGCTCGGTCTCTGTGGCCTCCGACCGCCTGACTTGCACGACGCCTTCGGCGGGGCGAAGGCCCCGCTCAGCGCAGCCCTGGAGCGCCGCCGATAGATCGCCATCAGCCGCGACGTGCAGCATGGCCCCCTCGAGGACCGCAGCGATCCCGACGTGCTCGCCCAGGAGATCGAGCTCGTCGTGGGGATCGGGCCGATGGCGGCTGCTCTGCCCCCCCCCAGGCGGGGCCTTCTTTTCGCGATTCATGAATTTGTGCTCGCGGTCTTCTCGGGCTCGCCAGCGGCCGTGGGGGCCGCGGCAACGCTCCACGGACCCGGCGCGGGGCCGCTCTGCGAGTGCGTCATGGACTGGCGCATGTGGGGCAGGCGTTGATGCATGGCCACCGCCTGGAAGGGGCGGTGGGCGTTCCGGCCCCTGCTGGCACGGCGAAGCGACCGCAGCCGCCAGCGCCTCGCCCTGGAGGGCAGCGTCAAGTGCGAGGGCGGCGTCTGCCGGCGTTTGGCGGAGGTGGCGGCATAGTGCTCCAGCGAGTGGTGCGATGCAGTGTCTGAGCAGCTTGACGTGTGATGCCGCTCGCCATGCTGCTGATGCTCCAGGGGATCTCGTGCAGCTGGCCTGGATTTCTGGGGGAAGGCCCGCCCGCGCGCCCTCGCGCAGTCTCGCGGCGCGCGGCTTCGTGGGCCGGGCGGGGCCGCCGAGTTGCAGGTCGATCCGGCTGTTGCCCGTCATCGTGTCATTATGCTTGACAAGTGGAGCTTGTGGCTCCAGAGTAGGCGGCCGCCCCGTCCTGGCGACGTCGCGCGCGGCGTCGAGCTGCTCGGCGCCCCCCCCGTGGTACTGGGGCTCGCGGGGTCGCTCGTCGTCTTGGGGCTCAGGGTGGGGGGGGGGCCGCGGCGATCAGTGGAGCGACGACTTCGCTGGTGAAGAGGCAGAGGTTGAGGACATCTCGGAGCTGTGCTCTGGGGTCCTCTGACCGTGTTGGAGCTGTGTTCCGGGCGTTCTGGCGCGGGCCGCGGCGTGGCGGCAGGCTGTGCCGATCGTCGGGCGGTGTGCGCCAGCGCGCTTTATGGGGCTCGCTAGCTTGCTTCGGCCTGTCCCCGGGGGCCGTGTCGGGGTGCTCCCTTCCCTGCCGCGGGCGCCGTGGAAGGTTTCTGCGGTTGGCGCCGCGGAGCCCGAAGTGCGTTGGGGAAGTGGTGGGGTCTGGCTTCTGGCTCCAGGGTCGTGCCGAAATCAGGCTGGCGGGTTCCGCCGCAGATTGGGGGCGTTAGCGTTAGCTAGAGGCTGGCGCCCGCCCGCGCGCGGAGTTCCCGCGCCGGGCTGGCCGTGGCGGGAGTCATTGGCTATTCCCCCCTCGTGTGCTCCGCCGCTGTAGCCGCCGCTTTCCATTGCGTAGGTTGACGCCGGCAGCGATGATAGTAGCGTGGTATTTGCTGCTTCGATACTTGCAGCTACTTGTGCATGGTAAAAACAGCGTTCGCGCGCGTCCGGCCCCCCTACCCGGCCAGCTTCGCGTGCGTATGCTTGCTCTCGTGTATTCGCTTGCGGGGTACTCCTCGAAGTTAGCCGTGGCTTCGAGCGCGTCCTCTTCAAGACTTCGTGCCGCTGCTGCAAGGCGGCGTGCCATAACATTCAGGACATGTGCCTATCAATCGGGTCAAGATCATCCCCGAATCCGCGGTGAACCAGCAGTGTGCTGAAGACCCGGCAAACCTAAGCAAGAGGGCCAGGCCAGGCAAGGCCAGGCAAACGAACCGGGCCAGCCCGGGCCAAAAACAGGCAGGACCAGGCAGTGATAATGGGCGAGGCCAGGCCCAGGGAAGACCAGGCAGGGCCAGGCAGATGACCGGGCGAAGTGGCCGGGCAATGCTGGGCAAAAGGCCGAGCAACATGGGGCAGCGCCAGGCGCGCCTGGACAAACAGACCAGGCAAGACGCTATACCAATCAAATTATACCAGACTTGTCATGGCCAGGCGAACCTGTGCCAGACCAGGCAAAACGACCATGCAAGACAAGGCCCGGCCACGGGCAATGCCAGGAATCGCAGGAGCGGCAGGCCCAGGCAATGCCGTTCAAGGAAAGGGCCAGACAATGCCAGACAGAAGTGCCACGCAAGACTAGGTGGGACCATGTGGTGCCGGGCGCAAGCGCTGGACAATATCTGGCAAGACCAGAGAAGACCTGACCTGGTCCCGGGCAGAATGGCCACGCAGGACGGGCCAAGCAAGCAGGCCAGACAAGACCAGGCAACGCGAGGCAACGACACGTGGCAAGACTAGGCAAGGTGGCCAAGCAAAAAGACCAGGTCAGGCCAGGCCAGGCCAACAAACAGAAACGAACATGCAACACTTGGCAAACTTGCGAGGCGAGACCAGGCAACGCCGGGCAATACCAGGGGTTCTAGGCAGACCCAGACAAGCAGACCAGGCAAACGCTCGGGTAAGCCTCGGCAGTGCAAGTCGAATCCACGCAACGCCAGGAAGCCAGTTCTGGCAACGCAAAAATAAAACACGAGGCAATACCAGGGAAACCAGGCGAATCATATATGCGGGGGCAGGCCATGCAAATAGTGCCCATGCAAATAGTGCCCATGCAAATAGTGCCCATATATGCATGCCAATAGTGCCCATGCAAAATGACCAGGCGATCAAGGCTAAGCAACCACACCATGCAACAGTAACAGGCAATGACAAGGAAGACAGGGCACGACAAAGCCAAGACACACCAGACACCCCAACCCTTCCCGATCCCTCGTGACACCATTCGATCCCTGCCCGTCCCATCCTCCTTCCACCTTGCGATGCGATGGGCGGGTGTCGGAAGAGATGGAAGAGACCGGCGTCACCATCCCGCCCTTTCCCGCCCCATTCTGCCCTCCTTGCCGCCCCGCGCCTCCCCTCGCTCCGTCCTCGCCTCTCCCAGCCCAGCCCGCCCTCCACCTGCGCTCTCTCCGGCGGGTCCCTCCCCCTTGTTTTCGCCGCCCCCGCTTCGCGCCGCCGCCGTCGCCTGTGCCATCCCTTCGCCTCCCCTCGCTCCGTCCCCGCCGTTCCCCGCCCACCCTCGACCTGCGCTTTCGGGTGGGTCCCTGGAGCGTTCGACCGTGGGCCCCTTGTGGGGCGCAGCCCTCCAGCTTTCGCGCCGCAGGTCGCCAGAAACCGCCCAAGACCGCCAGGAGCCACCGAAGATTGTCCGGAAACTGCCGGGTACCGCCGTAGACCGCCGAAGACACGTACATGGCGTTGATTAGCGTGTGGAAGTTGATGAGATAGCGCCGATCTAGCGTCGCTTTAGCGTAGATTCGCGTCGATGTAGCGTCGATTAGCGTCGATGTAGCGACTGTATGCAAGAGCCAACAACATGGTATGGAAGGCTCCCATAGGTTGCCGCCGAACTCTGCCCTCGCCGTTCCCTGTCCACGCCGCATTGCGCGCAGGACACGGGGGATGTGGACGCGGCGCCCTTTGTCAGCATCCTGTACAATGGCAGCCAGTGGCCTGGGCTGCAGCCACCTCCTCCCCCTCGGTCCTACATCTTCTTCGACCTTGTCCTCGATCCACCTTGACCCTCGATCCTCGAATCCTCGATCCCCGATGGTCGATCGTCCTCGATCGTCCTCGATCCTCATCGATCATTCTCCTCGCCCCGGCTTCCTGGAGGATGCACGGGGGGCCCCGTGGCAAGGGCCAGAGGGGGCTGGGTGGGACGAGGGGGAGGAAGAAACGATGAAGGAGGAGACACTGAGATCCTGGCGTCTCAGTTTTTTCGAGCCGTGCGTACGTGCCGGGCTTCGGGCTTCAAGGCCCTGATAGATCGATCTGGGTCGAAACATGGCGCAGAAAGATGGGGTCCGGGTCTCTGGTCGCGATGTTTTATGATGCTGCATTTTTTCCGCGTCGTCGGCCCTCAAGGATAGGGGGGATGAGGAGGCAGGATGAGGACGGACGTGCTGGTCCCTTGCAAGCCAGGTGGTGCTTCTACGGCATTTTCGCGTACGAGTACACGCAGAAGAGTGGATTCCTGGTTCTGGTCATCCTGCAGCCTACCTATATCCCTCGGGACTCACTCACAATCATATGCACGCGTAATCAGACTCACGCGTCCACCCCACTCAGACTCACTCGCGCTCCGATTCACTCACACTCAGACTCACGCGTACTCAGACTCAAACTCAAACTCGTATAGCTCATTTTCAGACGCGCTCACACTCATATCACTCACCCTCAGACTCACTCATAGCCAGACTCACTCATACTCAGACTCAGTCATACTCAGACGCGCTCGTACCCAGACTCTCTCATACCCAGACTCGGTCACACCCAAACCCGACCATTCCTGGGATCACTTACGCTCAGACTCACTCACACTCAGATCACCCACGCTCACATCCACACAGTTTTGTCTGTTTTGACTGTCAGTGCTCCTTCGCTTTTTACCTTTGTTTCCAGTGTCTCTTGAGATCAATGTCCAGAGGATGAAGAGGATGAAGATGAAGATGAAGATGAAGATGAAGATGATGATGATGATGATGATGATGATGATGATGATGATGATGATGATGATGATGATGATGATGATGATGATGATGATGCTGCTGCTGCTGCTGCTGCTGCTGCTGCTGCTGCTGATGACGACGACGACGACGACGACGACGATGATGATGATGATGATGATGAGATGAGAGAGGAGGAGGAGGAGGAGGAGGAGGAGGAGGAGGAGGAGAGGAGGAGGAGTAGGAGCAGGAGAGGAGGAGGAGGAGGAGTTGGAGGAGTAGGAGGATGAGAGGAGGAGGAGGATGAGGAAAACGTCACCGAAGTCGTCGGTGTCGTCGTCGTCGTCGTCGTCGTCGTCGCCGTCGTCGCCGTCGCGTCCGTTGTCTAGGCGGGCTCGTTCTCACATCCAGATGCTCACAGACAGACCTTCGCAGCGAGACGTGACAGGAGTATGATATTGACATGGGGATCTCCGCATCAAGTAATCTTCTGAGCCTCGCGATCCTCGTTTTGTAGCAGAATTTACATATATGCAGTTAAAATGGGGAGCCGCCACGGGCCCGTTCGCGGTCAGATTGTGAGGATGTCTTAGGCATAGCGCGCGTTTTGGCTTCACCGACTTGTCTCATCAAGGCCACACGATCATTGCGACGTAGCAGGCATCGCACTTGGGCACCCCAATGGGAGCTTGCGCGGGTCCGTTCGCGGCCAGACTGTGGGAATGCCTCAGGCGTAACGCCCGTTTTAGCTTCACCGACTTGTCTCTTGTCTGAGCTACAGGATCATCGTGATGTAGCAGGCGTAGCACTCGGGCCCCCCAAGGGGGAGCCGCCAGCGGGTATTCGACTGGCCCGTTCGGGGTCAGACCGTGGGGATACCCCAGGCGAAACGCCCGTCTTGGCTTCACCAACTTGTCTGTTTTTCAAGTCACATGATCGTTGTGATGTAGCCAGCGTAGCATTTGGCACCTCGAGGGGGAGCCGCCATGGGGTTATAGCACGGGCCCGTTCGCGCCTTGACCGTAGGGATGCCGCAGGCAAAACGCCCATATCCTAAGCCGTTACTTGTTTGACGCCTCGGACTCCTCGCCCGCTCAGGAGGTCGCAGGCGGGGCCTCAGGGGCGTTACACTTTCCAGGTTGCGCCCAGCCTGTGGGTACCCTTCATGCGAAACGCTGCTCTAGGCACCCCCGGCCCATCTCCTTCCGGAGTCACAAATCGGGGGTTCGTAGAGGGAGGGTTATCCCAAGGTGGGGATGGGGAACGAGCCCAGCCAGCTGCTTCCGTTTAACGTTTAACACGTTTCCTTCTTTCAGGGGTCGTCCAGAGCGATTCTCCCTCCAGCCCCACCTCTGCCCCCCTACCCCACCCTTCTGCCCCCCCGAACACAATCACCCCGACGTAGCAGGCATCGCGTTGTGGCACCCCGAGGGGGAACCACCAGGGAGCGCTCCGTCGCCACACGCTAGTAGTCTCTCATGCAGGCACGGGCGGACGGGAGTGCCAGAAACTGCGATGCACATCTGGCGCTTGCCGCGTCGAACAATAGTGTGCAGTGCTCTCCGCTAGACGCTTGTCGAATACGGATCCAGACTGCCACGGTGCCTTTGGACTTGCCAGGTCGAGCTTTTTTGGTGGGACGCTGCCTGTTGACGGGGACGTGCGCCTGACAGTTTCTTCGAAGCGCTAGGCAGCGCATCAAGCGCTCTATTTCGTTCCATGCGTTGCATTGAACTTTTGTCCAGCGCACAGCGCTTCGTGCTGCCGGCTACTCCTGAGCCTTCCTGCAGATCTCAAGGCTGGGAAGTGTGCTGCAGTTTGAACACGTGACTGTCTAAACGACCTAGGTTGAAACAAGTATTTGTGGCCAGTTGTGGTCCCTCAAATCTAGTGGATGTCAGAGGCCTCTTGAATGCTTGTGGGGATTTCTTGGGGGCCCTCTCAGAAGCCTCTTGGAGGCGGTTTTAAGGGTGTCTAGGGCCTCTCGGGGCCTCTTTCGGGCCTCCTGGGGCCTGATTGGGGCCACTTGGGGGCCTCCTGGGGCTTCTGGGAGGTCTTGGGGGTCATCTTGGGGCGAAGAGTGCAACATGTCAGTTCGTGTTAACCTTCGTCGGGTTCTCTTCAGGTCCTCTTCGGGCCATCTTGGGCCGATTCAGGGGCCTCTTGGGCCGCCAGGGGATCCTCTTGGGCTGTCTGGTTTGCCTCTTAGGGGTGTCTTGGGCGATCTTGGAGGTCTCTTGGGCCGTCTTGGATCGTCTGAAGCCCGAAGGGCACCTTAGGAAATCACTGACTTTTGGCCTCTCGGGGCCCTCTTGGGGGGCCTTCTTGAGCCGTCTCAGGGGCCCTCTTGGACCGTCTTGGGGGCCTCTTGAGGACCTCTTGGCCGTCTTGGGGCCTCTGGGCTCCGGATAAGCCACGCGACAACACGCGAGCTCACGCGGCAAGCCCGAAGAAGTCTGAGAATTTGGAGCTTCGGCTGCGAAATATGAAATCCTCAGGACTGGGTGCTGAGGACTCAAGGGGCCTGGGGACACTCCAACTCGTGCCTCAGGGCACGAGCTGGGTGGGAGCGTTCGAGGTGGGTGGGTGAGGTGGGAGCGTTCGAGGCTGAGTCGTACTAGTACTGTTGCAGGTCGTATAATCCTAGCCCGAAGCAGTCGCGCGACCTTCGCTCATACTGTCAGTCTGAAGGCTATACGCGGCTGGCAAAGCTGTTGCTGCCAAGTGCGCGCGATCCGCCATATTTCCCAGATGCGTGTTTACGGGGTGCAGCACCCCGATCTGGGGACGTATGCCAGCTGTTCCCTACGCGCTACATTCTGCTATGCGCGGCCTTTGGTCAGCTATACATATTCCTCTTCCTCTATTTTTGCAAGCCCGGGCTTCGGGAAAACCCGCCCCCCCCCAAACCGGACTCCCAGGATCTGGGGATTTGGGACCCTTCGGACGGGCCTCGGAGCGGCCCCAGGGCCTCGCAGGGCGTTTTGCCAAGCCTTCGCAGCACACTCAGGGTGATCAGGGAGGTCATCGGAGACGTCCCAGAGAACCCCAAGACAGCACAAGAGCGCTCCAAGAAGCCGTCATACCTCGAAAGATCGCTCCAAAACTTACCAAGAGGCCTCCAAGAGTACCCCAAAGAAGGCCCCAAGAGGGACAAATATTTGATTTAATGTAGGTTTTTGATGAATTTGGGGTTCTCCTCTTTTCGGCTTCCCGACGCTCCAAGACAGCGGTCTTCTGGGCGTCCGAAGTCTCCTGGGAGGCTCCCAAATCTCCCCACAACCATCCGAAAGGGTTTCCAGGCAGTCCAAGAGAACCCCAAAACGGCTCAACAGGGGTCCAAAATGGCCCTCAGAGAGCCCCATGGCGGGGCCCAAGATGGCCCCAAGACACCCTCCGAAGCATTCCAAATCGTGACCGGGGCGTTCAGGGAGACCGCGGTTAGAGGCAGGTTGGCCTTAGGAAGCCCCAGAGGCCCCCAGAACACGCCCAGGAGGCTTCCAGAAGGCTTTAAGAAAGTCTGAGAACTTTGGTGAGGCCCCCAGAGGCTCTCCAAGGAGGAGCCTCCGCAAAAAGAGCTGAGAAGGATGAGGAGAATGCTCAGGGTGTGGCGAGAATGAGGAACAGCAAGCATGGAGGAAGGATAACGAACTACATTATTATAGTGGCGATGCCAGAAAAAAGGCAGCAAGGAGTTATCGCTATATTGTCCGCTTGACCTTCCTGCCATTTCCGCTTGCATACCAATCTTCAAGGATCAAGGTGCATGGCGCGAAGCGCCACCGCAGTCTTGTATATATATATATACACATATATAAACATATATATATATATATATATATATATATAAAGCTATTGGCAAAGGTCTACTGTTTGCATCCTGCTGCCCAGGTCGATTACTTACCGCTAGTATCTACGTTTGATGCCCGCATTGCATTGCGACGATCTTTGCGTTAATGGTGGCATGGCGCCATGGCGAGCGGGAGGGGGGACAACCTTGCCACTATCGCCGCCCATGCCTGGAGGGAGCAGCTCATTGACTTCCCTCCACGAGTGCGGTTCTCTGATACGGGTGCATCAGCGGGGTGCAGGGTGCCGAGGGAAGCAGGGGCGGGGAGAGAAAGAGGGGTATGACGTGAGGGGCGCGAGCGTGGGGCCCCTTCCCAGGTCTTGGGGGCCTTTTTTGCGATCCAAGCAGCCATCTGCGGTGTGTGTGTGTGTGTGTGTGTGTGTGTGTGTGGAGTTGGAGGGTGACACGGAGGACGAGCAGGAGGATGAGGAGGAGCAGCATCAGCAAGCACACCAGCCCTCCCAGACGAGGTCTACTCGAATTTCATGGGCGTCTTTCTCGGCATGTACTACATCTGGGTCTTCCAGTCAAACTGCCAGAGCACCGACACCATCCGCAAGCTGCTCGTGTACTACCGAGGCGTCGGGGTGATGGTCGGGATCCAGATCATCGCTATCGCGGTGATGTCGCGCCAGCAGGCCCTCAGCCGCACCTCGGGTACTCGTTTGGGCAGCTCTGCTCGCTCCTCGCCTTCCTGCTCCACCTCCTTCTTTCTGCTCCCTTCTCTCCATCCCTACCTGCCCTCTTTCCTTCCTTCTTTCCTTCCTTCCCTGTGCCCCTCTGCCCCTCCCCCGCTCCCCCACCACTTCCCCATGCACTCCCGCTTCTCCTTTCCGTGCTGCTTTCCTTTCCCGTTCCCTTTGCGCCTCCCCCTCCTCCTTCCCCTTTGTGCACTGGCTCGAGCCCCCTGCGGAGGGGTGCGCGCGCAGCGTCCAGTCTTCCTCCTCTCTCCTCCGCGGGATCTCTGCTTCTCCAGCCGTCTCGTGCGCCCTGCGCCCGGCGCGTCCCTTTGGTCTCGGCACACGCGCCTGCGCCTGCTGGCGCCGCCGATGGAACAAATGTTTGTAGGAGTGGGCCTTTTCTTGTCGCATGCTGCGGAAACGACCAGTACAGTGTTCAGGTGTCCGCAAGCCTTCAGCCATGTAGAACACGTGTTCTGGCAAATTCAGTTGCTCCGGGTAGGATGAGGCCATTACTTCTCCTGCCCTGCGATATGTTGCGTTGTCTGGCGTTATGACCCAGGCTGAGGCGCCTTCGCCACCACCTTGGTTCGGACTTCTACTTTCAGATGTTTCCCCTCGTTGTTTCCCCGACAGTAGCCATGTCTGACTGGCTGTCTGCATCGTTCGCGTGCTTGGCAGTCGAAGTCGCAGTTCTCGAATGGTCCGTTGGCATATCGAGTGTACTGTGCGCGCGAATATTACATATCACTGGTAAGCGTTCGTCAGCAGTTGCTTTTCAGCATGATCGCCATTCTTCTCGTACTGCGTAGCGTAAAATGAGATGTGATCGGTTTATGTTACTTTATGAGTAAGCCTTGGGGATAGGCGCACGTGCTGCTACATAACAGTGCTTATATTTAGCTCTGAATGGGCTCGGCATTTCCTTGCTTGTGGTGATAACCGATCGATGGTTTACATGGCACGTTTGTTTGTTTTACGCCGCAGGAATTTAGAGTTGCTCTGGCCTTGTTGCCTACAGTTTGATCGATTGGGTTTTGTGCTATAAAACCTAGCGTTCCCTCAATCGCCCCCTCCCCTGTTCCTTCTCGCATCGTCGCCATTTTAAATTCCCCCAACTGTTCCGCTTCCTGTTTTTCTGACCCTTCTGTGACGTCGCGTCCTGTCTCGCCCCCCCGCCCCGCAGGCCCTTTACTTCTGCGGCCTCGTCTCCTCCGCATGCAGCGTCCTGGGCTCGTGCTCGCTGCTCAGCACCCTGCCAGTCGTGCTGCGCGACAGGCGGCCTCCCGCGCGTTTTCAAGTTCGTTATGTCCCAATATCCTCAGTATGGGGTTTGTGGCATGAGCATGATGCGTCCGCCTGACCACTCACCTCCCCTACACTCAAGTGTCCTCGTGCTCAGACCCTCTCTTCGTTCAGATGGGCCCATACCCCGAGTGATGCACATTCACACTGTCTGACACGTATGCTCACTTTTAATCAGAACTTCTTGTATGCCGATTCGTTCATACACATGCTCGCGTACACGTAGACGCATTTATGAGTATGCGGACTGTACTCACAAACGGGCTCACTGATATTCAGACTCGCTCGGCCTCGAACACATTAGTACAAAGTCACTCACATTCAGGCTCTCTAGTATCCAGAGACTCGAACGTGCTTCAGACTCTCGCACACACAGATTCGCTCGTCTGCACACTCCCTCACCTCACGTTCAGCTTCGCTCATATTCAGACTCATCCGTACTCAGTTCGATTGGCCTGATCGCGCCCAGATTGTTGGGACCTGTTGGGTCGAGCTGCCGCTTTTTTGGGGGCGGCGGTTGACGCGCGTCTTGTCAGAGCCCCGTGGTCATCGTGGTGTAGCAGGCATAGCATTTGGGCCGCCCTAGGGGGAGACGCCAAGGAGGATATCACGGCCCCCTTCGCGGCCAGATTGCGGTGACTTTTAGTAAAGTTGATGATCAGACACCCAAGAACAAAACACAAGAGCATCCCAGAAAGGATATGCACATAACATGGAGACCCCGCGTCTAACAACATCCCAATCCTCCTGTGTTGCCGGGTCGCCGTTCCGAACACGCAGCGCCCCGCCCCATCTTCACCGAACCTCCTCCCCTTCCCCCTGCCTCTCCCCACGGCCTCTCCCTTTCTCTCGCCCGCATACCAGATGTCGGCGCACCAGTGGCGCAGATCGCGCCCCCATGGGGAGCTCCAACCGGGCCCCGCGTCCTCTTCGGCGCACCCCTCACCTCGCTTCGTGCCTCCGCATGGCGCCCCACCTGCGGCCCCTCCTGCGTGTCCGCGCACGCCGCGCCGCGCTCGCGTCGGCACACCCCTGGCACGTCCTCGACCCCCCCGAAGGAGCGCCACACCTGCGGCTCCAGTGCTCCCGCCGGCACGCCGCCCCCATCGGCGCGCCGCTCACACGCCTCGTGCCCTCGCGGGAAGCGTTCCAGAAAGGGGCCTCGCCTTCGAGGGTCGAAGGAGTTGCCATCGCTTCCTCGGCGGAGGGCGGCGGAGGGTTGGCGGAGGGCGGCGGAAGTAGAGCAGGGGTGGCGAAAGCCAGCGGATGCCGGCGGAAGGCCAGCGAAAGCCAGCGGAAATACAGAATGCACCCCCGAGGAAAGGGTAGCCTTTTGTGGGCCCAGGGCCTCCAGAACCCGCCCTGGGGAGGAGCTCGGACGGGGCTGGGACGAGGATATATCCGTTCCAGAGCGTTCCGAAACGCTCTCAGAGTGTTCTCGAACGCTCTGAGAAGGCCGCGGCGCCCGAGACATGCTCCAGAGCCGCCGGACCTCAGAGATTCTCGATTTGTCCTCACCCGAGTCTATCCCGTCCTGGCTTCGTCTGAACACGCCTCGCACGGCTCGTGCTCCACGGAGGCACGAGCTCCATGCATCCTGTGGCGCGTGGTGTGTGGGGAGAGGGCCAAGCCCTGCGCGAAACGCAGCTGCGTAGGGCTGGGTTCTCGTTTGAGTCAGCAGCGCCGCGCCCCGCATTCCCACCTCCGCCCTCTTTCTTCTTCCTCTCCTCTCCGCGTGCCCCCAAGTCGCCCCCCATCCCAGTTCCGCTCCAGCCCCTTCCCCCCCTTGCCGCCTTTCCCCTCCCCTCGCTGCGCAGTCGTTGCCATTGTCGTGAGACCCTGGGATGTCCCGCGGAGTGTAGTCTTTGCCAGATTCAATTGGAGACCTCGCCTCCCTGTGTGTTGCCAACATCGCAGCCAGCGCCACTTTCGTGGGCTCTGTGTAGGTCCAGTGGAGTGTGGTCTTGCCCGATCCAGATGAGACCTCGTTCCCCTGGGAGATGGCTGCTGCGTGAGTGTCACTAGAATAGGGTACGCGTGAAGAGCGGTCTCCCAGCAACGCTCCCTGGGCCTTTCCAGAAGCCGCGGGGATGTCGGGGCATCTGGATTCTGGGCCTTATACAGACTAGAACAATAGCCAATGCAGATAATGCCTACGACACGGTGGCGGATTCGCCGCATGAGTGCGGGGCTAGGCCGAGCCCATTACTGTTCATGTAGAGGTTGCTTGCAATTCTTATGGCCCTCTGGTCCATTCATGCTTGTAGATTTGGGCCAGCTCCCAGAGGAGAGCATGGCAAAAGAGAAAAGGTTAGGAATAGTCGCACAAGCAAGCGCGGACGAAGCCTGCCGCTTCCTGAATACGGTCTTTCTGCAGCCTTCCTTGCCCCGTCTCCCTCGATGAATCGGGCGCTCGGGTCCAAAATCAGCATCCAGACCATCCGCAGGGACGCGAAACTTACCGCGCTCCGTGGTCTATGGCGGGCAGCTGTTCTTGTCCAGAACGTCGGCGTGAGAACGCGACGACAACCGCGCTTCGCACTTTGCGCAGCGCGAAGCGCAAGCTTAGACTACCTCTTGTGCGTGCGTGGCATAGCGTTTGCATTGAGCGTGTCGGCTGGACTACGTGCGGGTTTGGCGACAGCATGTGGAAGAGAAGGAGCAAGAGGACAGAGGGACATGAGCAGGAGGATTATGAGTAGGAGAGAGACCTCGCTTACTTGCTTCCTTTGTGAGAGTAGCTCCGAAGAGACCCATTGCACGGGCCAGCCATTCAGCAGCCCACTCACGCGAACCACCGCCTGAAAGACTCACTTGGGTCAAGTTGGAAAGGTGAAAGCAATCATGGCAGTGTGTTCTTGTGCTGGCGAGGATGAGATGTGTTGTACATGCACGTCGCCTGTGGCCCATGCCAGTACTTGCCCGCCCGTTCTGATTTCAGAGTGGGGGTCGCACCGTGAGTCGTATTCTGCACTCTGTACCAGCGCGAGTTTAGCAACTGAGTTCAACGCGGCATCTGCTAGCGTCCTCCAACACACTGCAGTCCTCCGACGTGTCAATGCGCATTTGCTGCCGTACCCTCATTTGGCTTGTGTGTTCATCTCCCGTATGCACCCCCTCCTCCTCCGCCTTTCCAATCGTCTGTTCTCCTCGGTTTTCGCCTGAAGCCCCTCCCGGGCTCGGAGGTGTTCAGCCTCCATCAACCTGCCGCTGCTGATCGCAGGGATGGCGGGCACAGTGCTGTGGATTATCTGTGGCTTCCCTAGACCGCCTCTTCCTTCTCCTTGCCCTCTCCTGCGGATCAGCACCGATCTGTGGGATGCTTCTAAGGTGGCTTCATTCTCTGGGACTTTTTGATTGTGCTGCCCAACATCATGGGCTTGATAATCCAGTCAATCTGCATGGGCCTAGTCTTGTACTTCCCGCGGGATCTCGACAGCATCGACGGTGCGGATGGATCGCAAGATAGGTATCTCCTGACTGCAAGTCATACTCGTGGTCAACGTAGACATGACTATGGAACCGTGAAGGTCTGCGGAGAGACTGGTGGCACTTGGTGATCTTCTGAAGGAGCCGTTCGAAGACGCAGGACGACGACGACGTCGGCGGCGACGACGACGTTGAAGCCGCTGAATATGATACTGATGGTGATGGTGAGTCTGGTGAGGACGATAATCCTTGTGGTGATGGCGGCGATGTCGACGACGTACTCGTTTACGGGACGGAAGGGTAGGCTAGGAAGGAGATTATCATTGGCAGGGGGGTGCGATTGCCAGAGGAAGTGCACAGCAAGGGAGGGTAGCAGGCTGGACCTTACCGAAACTCCACGCATTGGGCCAGACGAGCGCAGGTGGCGGGCCTCCGGAGTGGAGCACCCGTTCGCTGCCCCGCCTTTGCTGTAAGTAGACCTACAGATCGCGGTCCGCGCCAGCGCTGCTCTTGGCCCCTCGTGTCCGCGATCAGCGGAGGCGCAGGGTCACGCTCGTGCACCGACCTGCTCTGGCGGCAAGGCCGTTGGACGAATTCGCCTTGCGGCAGCGGCACGTGTGCGTGCCTGGTGCCCCAGGCGTGTCGCCTGTCATGGTTGCGTTGCTGGTGTGTTTGCTGGACTGGCGGGATCGAGATCTCCCGCTTCGCCTCGCCCACGGTTTAAGATCTACGTGGGTTGTCCCGTCATCAGGCGTCCTGCGCCCGTGCAATACGGGGTCTTCCAGGGAGAATTGTCCGCTGCGCTCCGCAAGAATTCTGCCTGGGCCAGCGGCGCGCGACTTTGTCCTCGATCTCGAACGCAGCATGGTACCAGGCCCGCTGACGTAGGCGGTGTGCGATCGCACCGCGGAAAAATATGACGCACGATTCGCCGCGTCGTCTTGCACACGCCATGAACTCGAGCGCCGCTTTGGTCAAAGCGGTTTCCACCCTCTCCCGCGGCACGCCATCTGGCAATGCACCAAAATGGCGTCTGATCGACGATGGCAAAAGCGTGCGGACCAACGCCCCTTCCATGTTTCGGAAACGTTGGTGAGCACTGCATCCGAATTGCTCTTGCTAATCTCAATGCTCTGTGCTGTGGATGTCAGGCAGCGCTCCCTCGCCCTGCCACCCTTTGGTTAGTACACAGCGCGGCAGCGGACACCTTGTGGAACTGATGCAGGCAACTGTTTCCGACTCGCAGGGACATGGCCTTCATCGTTGTCGCGCTGCTTCGCCTCGCCACGCACGAGCCGCTGTGCACCGTCCTGCGTGGGCTGCTCTTTGGACTGGGAGCGGCTGTGAACCAGTCTCACCGCGTCCTTATTTTGCTCACGGCAGCAGCCAGGCGCTTAATTTTCATCATGTGCAGGCATCATGTCGACGATAACTTTATTGTCGACACTGCTCACGCACAAGGGGACGCGCATGCTGTTTTCCTGTGCCTGGCTCGCGTGCTCGGCGTAACTTATCAGCCAGCAAGCGAGTGTCGCCCACCTCGACGTTTCTTTTGATAGGCCACATCCACGACCCCACGAGTGTGCTCACATATTGCACCGTGACAGTTGTGCCCTACCTCGGGACTGGAGAACGTTTTCTGGAGGAGATTGTGCAAGCAATCGGGCGCCGACGTCACCTATCAGGGTAGGTCGCTCATTTTCAAAAAATATATTTACCTTGTTGGATAATCCTGTCTCGGGGCCCCATTGTCGCGGGGCCCTGTCTGCCCTGCTAGCCTTTCAAAGTGCGGTTGACATTAAGGACAACTTGCGTTGGTGCTTCCATTGTCTCGCCGCCTTGGCACGCCATGCATCTCCTCGTTCTTTCTCGCTTCCAAATCGTGCCAGCCCTCCATTGATAGTGTGCGCCGATGCTTCCTTCAAGGGTGGTCATACGCGGATCGGCGCTTTGGCGATGGCACTTGGTCGCAATCCTGCGTGCCTCGTTCGCGACGTAATTCAGCGCACTGCCGCCTTTCTTGGCGGGTACGACCACACCATTTAATCAGGCGGAGTTATTTGCAGCGCCGCTCTTGGTGTGGTCGGCGCCTTCGTTCTTCGCAGGCGTGTGCACTATTAGGTTTGCTGACGACAAAGCAGCAGAAACTGCTCTTGTGAAGGCTGGATCCCCTACTGAACCAGTGTGCCGCGTAACCCTCGTGGCCACAGCGGCGCTGTCATCTTTCGAGGGTCGCCCGTTTTTCGAGTGGATCTCTTGTCACGACGATCCCATTGATGTTCTTTACAACGCCGGCTTTTGACGTCCTTGTGGTCGAATCTTACCTCGAATCTGGACGGTGGAAGGCTCTCGCTCCCAACGGTGCCGCCTGCCGCCGACTTGGACATCGACTGCCTTTTCGTTTCGCCATCTTGACCAGGCATTCATCCTGCCTGTGTGCACCTCTCCTCATTATCCTTGTGTCAGCGTTGGTGGGGCTCCTCTTGATGCGTAGCTGGCGTTTTGATTCTATGCAGGCTTGCACGCTGCGCCCTGCTCCAGGGCCTTTCCCCAGCAAGATACGAATGAAATATTGCAGCTAGGTTGCTGCCCTTGTGCCCCCCCCCCTTTATCCCGATCGATAATGACCTCATCATGTATGGAACCGAAGGGTAAGTTATGATGGAAGCTACCAGTGGGCAGAGGGGAGAGATTGCCAGGGACAGTGCGCGGCAGGTGAGGGTAGCAGGCTGGACCGCTCCACAGGCGCACCGGTTCCAGCAAGGGTCCGGCTGGTACCCAGCCCCAAAAAAACCCTCTCAATCGATTTGCTTTCGTCGGCCCGTGTGCGGTATGCCTTGGGCCCCGTGCGACCCAAATCACCCATTCGGCTTCGCCAGCAGTCCTGGGTAAGATATCTTTCGCTGTCTGCCTCTTCTCGCGGTTCCAAGTCCGCAGGCTCGCTGGCAGCGCTATCGCGCAGCCTCGGGTTGCGTCAGTGCCGGGGGGGGACTTGGGACTTTCTGCGCAGTCTGGCACGCTCCTGCCAAGGGTCTATTGCGCCCTGCTCCAGGGTCCTTCCTCAGTCGGATACGAGTCAAAGATTGCAGCCAGGGTGCTACCCTCGTGCGCTCCTCCCTCTCCCGATTGATAATGGTGATGCTGCTGCTATTGATCATGCTGGCGATGACGATGACGATGACGATGACGATGCTGCTGATGATGATGATGACCATGATGATGATAATGACCATGATGATGATGATGGTGGTGATGTTGATGTTGATGTTGATGTTGATGTTGTTGTTGTTGTTGTTGTTGTTGTTGTTGTTGTTGTTGTTGTTGTTGTTGTTGTTGTTGTTGTTGTTGTTGTTGTTGTTGTTGATCATGATGATGATGATGATGATGATGATGCTGATGCTGATGCTGATGATGATGATGATGATGATGATGATGAGGATGATGATGATGATGATGGTGGTGGTGGTGATGATGGTGGTGGTGATGATGATGCCGATGACGATTATGATGATGATGGATGGTGATGACCATGGTGGTGGTGGTGATGATGATGCCGATGACGATGACGATGGCGATGGTGACGATGCTGATGATGATGATGATGATGATGATGAGGATGATGATGATGATGATGAGGATGATGATGAGCGGCGCTGATGATGTTGTTGATGATGCTGCTGCTGATGATGAGGATGATCACGATTGTGATGCCGGTGGTGATGCCGGTGGTAATGATGATGATGATGATGATGATGATGATGATGATGATGATGATGATGATGACGATGATTCTGACGAGGATGATGCGGATGATGCTGTTGATGCTGATGACGCTGACGGTGATGGCGATGATCATGATGGTGATGATGCTGCTGCTGATGACGATGATGATCATACGGGGGAGATGGAGCATGATGATAGGGAAAAGGAGGATCAGCCTGTGGCGCTTGGTAGATCTGAAGTCGCAGTGGGCATGGGCAGTCAGCACGGTGGTTTGACGTCCCTCCCGTCTTCCCCGCATGTCCTCCGCTCAGCGGGGGCGCGGCGCCTGGAGCATCATGGCTGCCAGTAGAGAAAAGCGGCAGGAACATGGGGAGTTTTATTGCCCGCGGGTGGTCGGGACTATAGAGGGGCGGGGCGGGAAGAAACGATGCCCTACAGCTCCGGGTCAGGGCCGTGAACCTTTCCGGAGGGGAAAACACACAGACACAATGAATCGTCGACTCCCCAGAAAATATGGGAAAATATGGGAAGTGGCGGGGAAGACAAAAAAAAACAAGAAATTTTGTGGGAAAATATGGGGGATCTTTTTATTTGTGTGTACTTATCTGTGTGCCCCTGGGCCCCTTCGCAGCCTTGCGCGCCCGGGCCTCCGCGCGCGCTCTCCCGCGGCACGCGCTGGCCTCGCAGGCCCCGGCGGCCACGAGCGCGGGGCCAGGCCACGAGCTCCTGGTGGCCACGGGTCCGCATGGGGGGGCGAGGGCCCGTGCCCCGAGCCACAGGGGAGGTGGGTTTCAGGAGGGGAAAAAACACACAGACACAAAATTAATCCTCGATTCCCAGGAAAAGATGGGAAAATATGGGAAGTGGGGGGGAAGACAAGGACCCAGAAGATATGGGAAGATATGGGGCATCTTTTCATTTGTGTGTATTTATTTGTGTGTCCTGGGGCCCCTTTAAAAAGGGGAGGTGGGTTGGCGGGAGCAGGAGGACCAACTCTGTCGACTAGACGTATGTAAGAGTGACCTTTCGTCGGAGTGACCGTTGGTGCGGGCACAGGCGGGTCCCCAGAGGGCTGAAAACGAGGCAGGAGCAGCGGCTTGCGCGCCCGGGTCTGCTCCCCCCCCGGCCACCAGAGAGCCGCGCACCAAAGGTCACTCTCACCCAGGGTCACTCCTGCGTGTAGCCGACTCTGTGTCTGTGGCGGTGCACGACTGCGCGCAGGATGGCGTGTGAGGGTCGGCCCACTGCCCAATCCTCGGTGGCACGCCTTCGGGGCGACTTTGCCGCTGGCGTTCGCTTTCCCGGAGCTCGTGAAGGCACCGTTGCTTGCTGGCTGTGGTGATGTGTGGTGTTTTTTTTTTTGGGGGGGGGGGAGCACATAAATCCGGTTTTGGGAGCCCCGTGTGTTGCGTCGTCGTCGTCGTCGTCGTCGTCTCGTCGTCGTCGTTGTCTCGTCGTCGTCGTCGTCGTCGTCGTCGTCGTCGTCGTCGTCAGCGTCGTCGTCGGCGGTCGTCGTCGTCGTCGTCGTCGTCATCGTCGTCGTCGTCGTCGTCGTCGTCAATCGTCGTCGTCGTCGTCGTCGTTGTCGTCGTCGTCATTGTCGTCGTCGTCGTCGTCGTCGCTTGTCGCTCGTCGTCGTCGTCGTCGTCGTCGTCGTCGTCGTTGTCGTCGTCGTTGTCCGTCGTCGTCGTCGTCGTCGTCGTCGTCGTCGTCGTTGTCGTCGTCGTCGTTGTCGTCCGTCGTCGTCCGTTGTCGTCGTCGTCGTCGTCGTCGTCGTCGTCGTCGTCGTCGTCTTCGTCCGTTGTCGTCGTCGTCGTCGTCTTCGTCCGTTGTCGTCGTCGTTGTCGTCGTCGTCGTCGTCATCGTCGTCGTCATCGCTCGTCGGTCGTCACTCGTCGCTTGTCGTCGTCGTCGTCGTCGCTGGTCGCTCGTCGTCATCGTTGTCGTCGTCGTGCGCGCGGACGCTGCAGTGGTGCTGGAAGCGCACTGCTGGAGGGGGGCGTTACGTTATGCCCCCCCCGCCCCCCCCATAACGCTCGTTATCTCTGCGAATAAAGAAATGGGCTCTTGCCGCCCGGTGCCGCCCGTTGCAGCTTTGGTACCGCGTCACCACATAGCTTACACCACATTGATATTGCACCTCAGAGGTTGCACCACATAGCTTGCACCACGTAGCTTGCACCACATAGTTTGCACATCCACGGTGAATACCTCACTGTCTGGGGTCCACGCTGTATAACATGTTTTTGCCAGGGTTCGTGGCTTCGGGGCGCGGATCCGTGGTTTTTAAGGAGGGAGTGTGTCCTCGGGATGGGGGCCGGTGCACGCGGAAGTCTGCTACCGGGAGCTTGGGGGTCCTTTTGAATACTGCAGAAACCCCATCACTCAGCCCTTGGCATTCGTCCATACAGTACCAGGGGGCACGGTGTCGCATTGGTTCCAGGTGTCCAGAGTCTGGCCCGCTCCTGATTCTGCCAAAGCGGAGTATATGGCAAACAATGTTCCACGGCGACATTTCCCGATCCGATGCCCCAGCGTACGCACTCTGTCGCTTTCCCATGGCACTTGGTGCAAAAGGGCGGGGGGGCATCGCTTCTCGCAGCTGGAGGGTGGGGTGAGAAATTGCCACGCGCGGCCGAGGAGCTTGCTTCGAGGGGGTTCCGACGCAGAGTGTGGTGTCTCCCATGGGCGAGCATACTGAAGGCAAACTAGTTGCCGGCAGTCGAGTAGAAGGGCGCGGTCAGCTGCAAAATAGTCCATTCGCACGCGGTTGCAGGGGCAGGGCGGGGGGTGTAGGAAGGTTTCGAGGTTTGAGGAGGTGGCGGCGATTGAGGCGGAGGTGGATGCCGTTGAGGAGGAGGAGGCTTTGGATATTGCGGAGGGGAAGTTTGCGGATGAAGCGGATGATGCGGAGGAGGAGGAGGAGGAGGCAGAGAGAAGAGGGAAATTTAACCGATGAAGCGGGGGAGGAAGAGGAGTAGCAGAGGCTGAGGGGAGGAGAAGAGGGAGGATGAGGATGAGGAGGAGGAGGAAGAGGAGGAGGAGGAGGACAAGGAGGAGGAGGAGGAGGAAGAGGAGGATGAGGAGGGTTAACCTAGGAGGAGGAGAAGGAGGAGGAGGAGGAGGAGGAGGGGGAGGAGGAGAAGGCGAAGACAGAAGAAGAGGGGGAGCAGGAATATGGGCAAGGAGGGACGGCGAGCGCCCCCCTGGAGAGTGGACTGCAGTGCAGCAGAAGCCTCCAACAGGCGCAGCACATGACTGCACGGAACAGTCAGCGGAGCGGGTTAGAGCACTGCAGGCGATTAGTGTTCCGTTTGCCACAGCACATGCACCTCTGGCAGAGCAGGCTGCACTCTTGGAGTCTGCCCCACTGGGCGTCAGCTCGAGGCAAGTCGCACTGCCTCAGCCGATAGGCATGCTTGCTCTGATGCAGCGAGCTGCTCGTGGGCAGGTTCGTCAAAGCGCACGTTCGAGAGACGCTCCATGCTTCCTTGGCACCACATCGGAGGCACGAGGAACAAGTCAGGGTCACAGTTTTGGAGTGAGTTCAACGACACGGCCATCTTTGCAAATCGTGCGAGGTAGGCACGAGGACGACACTGCGCAACGGTAGCGTTCGCCGACGTGAGCACGCGCACTCACACGCGTCACTGCCACTATACCCCGGTATCAGACTACGAACCTGGGACGCACGTGACGCCGAGCGATACGTAGACACAGGGCGAGGGCGCGGCCCACAACACGTGTCCGATCTCCGCGATACGGAGCAAGAGAATCGTTCCCAAGCCCCCAGGCGAGCCAACCAATCAGCACGACTTCACCATGCAGTATCCAGACACAGGCTATGCGGACGAGGCAGAGCTCAATGGAACACCGCCGTCAGGGT